GTGAGACTCAAGCCTTCAAGTTTAGGTCTGCTTCTTTTTGTGAACTTTATGTGTCTTTGTGATTTACTTTTGGACATGAAAGGCTGGTTCCTCTAAGCTTCCTTTTCTCTCTTTTGATTTTATATTGGAGTAGCCAGGTTGCTTTTGTCTTCCTGCGTTCCCACAGAGGCCCAAGTCAGATGACATTCAGATGCCCTCAGGCTTTCTCCTAAGGTCTGGATCCCTCCAGGAAAGATTTTGGCCTCAGGAATTTGGGAGTTGGACTGGCCTCAAGCCGGGCCCAGGAAAGATGCTGATGTAGGGCAGGTGGTGGCCCTGCCACCCAGAGATGCAAAGGAAGATGGGGGTGGGAAGTGGCCTCAAGGACTCCTGGGGACTGCACTGAGGAGCTGGGTCAGTCTGGAAGCAAAGGATCAAGAAGAGGAAAGGTCAGCCCTGGAGTCCTGGAAAGAGGCTGGCAGGTTGTGTAGGCCCAGGGAAGCAGAGGGAGGTGAGGGTGGGGCCAGGCCCAGAGTGCTCCTGGCGACCTGAGAAGGAATTGAGTTGGTCTGGATTCAAAGGATCAGGAAGCAGTGGTGGTTCCCAGGGTATCTGTGGCGCAAAGACAAGGAATGGGAAAGGACCCAGGCTAGGAGGAGAGACCAGCAAGGGAGATGCGAGGGTGAATGATGCCAGTAGAGTCAAGGTGCGGAGGGCACAATCGACTTACCCCAGAGAGGGACCTGCGAGTTGGGTTGGAGAGAGGCCTCTGGGTCATGCAGGCCCAGGGAAGCAGAGTGAGAGAATACTCTTAAGTGTAAAATTCATTCTCATTCGTGCTTCGTAACACTTTTAATCTGTTGAGCCACTTTCCCTCTTCAAACTAAGATGAGCCTTCCTATTTGCCAAGGATTTATTGAAGTCAGTGAGTAGTCAGTACCCTAAATTCTGTTTGATACATAGTTGATATTTCACCTTATATTGAGAGGGGGAGTTCCTTGATACTTTGTATAACTGATAATTTGTGCTGGTATTTTCATCCACTAACCTTTCCTCACAAGGATAAATTAGAAGACAAAGAGAAGGAAAAGAGACAAAAGGGAAGAATGAGGAAAGGGAAAATGAAGAAAAAAGTCATGAATTTCTATTAAAGATGTGACAGTTTTTCCTACTTCATTATTTCTGAAGATAATTTTAGGAAAATCACCTTCAAAGAACCTGCAGGTTTTTTTCAACTCAAGTCAGCTTTGAAAAAAATAAGAAGACACAGGCCAACAGATTTATACTTAGTTGAAATTTTTATTACTTGTTAGAGAATACTAGACCACTGTATGTAGATAGCAGCACAGATGGTGATATTCTCTGTGAACATATATTTTTTTGGCTGTATGAGCTATTTAAGGAAGCCTTCCAGGCATACAGTGGTCAATGGGCATACCAAAACAAAACAAAACAAAACAAAAAAAACCAAACAGCATCATTAATCATCTGGGATATGCAAAATAAAACAAGACTGCCATTTCAATTGTTAGAGTAGCTGTCATCAAAAGGAAAGCTAAGTGTTGGTGAGGATGTGGAGAAAAAGGAACCCACTAGACCCTTGGCAAGACTGTAAATTGGTACAACCATTATTGAAAATAATATGACAGTTCCTCAAAAAATTGAAATAGAACTATCAAGTGACCTGATGGTTCTGCTGTGATGAATAGCCAGAAGAAATGGAATTTGCATGTGGAAGAATCGTCTACCTCATGCTATCTTCAGATTTATTCCTGTGTGGTATATGTACACACAATAGAATATTTTTCAGTCTTAAAAAGAAAGAAATTTTATCTGGGTGTGGTGGCACACACCTTTAGTCTCAACACTTGGGAGGGAAAGCCACAGATCTACATCACTCTTGGGGTTGAGTATGGATGTAAGAGGAAGGAAGGCAGGAACTACAATCTGCAACTCAAAGTTTAAGTCCTAGGAAAATGGGAAATACTAGAAGAGAGACTGTCACGTCTCCTTGGAAAGAAAGAAACGTGTCATGAAGCCACATGACAGAAGTGCTGTCAAGGGGGCTGGAGAGGTGGCTCAGTGATTAAGAGCACTGGTGTGCTTACAGAGGACCCAGGTTCAGCTTCCTGCACACACATGACAGGTAACAACCATCGGTAACTCCAGTTCCAGGGGATCCGATTCCCTTTTCTAGCTTTCATGGACATTACACATACATGTGGCATTCTTACATAGATGCAAGCAAAACACCCATGCACAATTAATTTTAAATTAATAAAACAATTTAAGTGCTAAGGGCACAAGGGAGCTGTGTACTTCTTAGATGCTTCTGAGGAATCAGACAAGGTCAGGGCTGGTGGTTACCACTGGGTATGCACCATGGAGGTCATGTGCCAAAGTACTCACTGTACCTGACTTTAGTAAATCTTAGCATTTTGCAGTAGTCATTCAGACCTTCATATTTGAAAAATAAATACATTACATAGTGACCTTCCCTGACACCATAGCTCTACTCCATGCTGTCATCACTCCTGCCTCTACCTGTGGATGCTTGCCTCCAACTCCCTGTCCTTATGAGTATTCCTTGCTTTTCACCTCAAAAATAATATTAGGTTGGTCTCATTTACCCTGCTTTATCAAGTTCATGAACACTGAAATGATTTAAAACCATTTGCTTTTCTAATTCTGAATATCCTGCAGTCTGGTTTTTGCTTTTCATAACACTTGTTTAATCAATACAGAGATGTTTTCCATTCATTGGAAATTTGCATTTTAATTTAGGCAAACAGCTCTTGCCTAAATTTTCACCTGGAAAATAAGCATAGTTTGTTACTTCTTACCTTAAATAAAAATTTATAAAGATGCCCTCTCAGAACCATGAGGAAATAAACCATGTTCTTGCTTCAAGTTTCTGTGTGTCTCACCCTGTGTGCAGGCTCCCCGTTCAGAAGCCGTCACTGTCCTCGGATCCCTCGTCTGCTTCCCAAATACCTATCAGGAGATCCCTCTACTGCAATCTGTGCCAGGAGTGGATGAGGTCATTACAGGAACTGAGGATGTCAAGGTACAGAAAACCATTCCAGCGAACCTCAAGTTTAGCATTTTATAGTTAAGCTACAAGACTGTGTCTTCCATATTATATGTCGATCTACTTTCCCCTTAATCTTTTAAATGATTCAGTAGTTGTTTGCAGAAGTGTGTTGTGGGAATTATAAATGTACCACATTTATAGCATATTGAAGTTAGACCTGATAGCTCTATTCCTCTGGTGTTTTTTGTTAGATCTGTTTATCGTTCCTAGGGATCATAATTATGTAATGAATCATCCTCTGTAATAATTTTATTAGCTTAGTTATGCTGCATTAGTGTATCAAATGAATTTATAAGAAATAATTGAAATAAGTTAAATATTCAATCCTGTTGTTGGCCTGATTAAATGCTACTAATAATTTGAAACCCCACATTGTTTCTTGGGGGATAAAAGTAAACATTTGTTCTGTCCTCAGCTGACTTTTGAAGCAAACAAAAAGATCTCAGTGCCAATCAGTCTGTCAACCTGTAATACCTGATTAGAATATATAATTCAATGTACAGTGTATAATCCAATCAAAATAAAATGGAGATTCTTTTCCTATCTGGAAGTCTCAGATGCTCTGCTTGACTTCCATTGGATCCTTAGTAACACTGTACTACAGGCTGAGTTAGATACCATGGAGGCCCCTGCTAAGGCGAATCAGGATCCTCTTTCCCCTAGTTTCTACCTGAAAGAAGGGCTCCCTGAGCTCCCTGGCCTTTCAGTAGCTCCAGGCTGCCTGTAACATGGTGAGCACATGTGGGAAAACAATAGTGCCATCAAGTTTTCATTGACTGAATTTTGTGTTTTCAGAATTACCTCATAAATATTTTACTGAAGAATGCTACTGAGGAACCAAATGAATATGCAAGGTAAATGTTGACCAAGAGGTAAACTAATTTGCAATTTTAAGATGCACATTTATGTATAAACAGTTAATGTTTAAAAAACACATTGTTTACATTTCTTTTACACACATCAAAATAGTAAGAATTATGTCAGGAAAATGCTATGCTTAGATATTTAAAAGTCATAATTACTACTAAAAATGGTAAGATGCAGAATATTTTACATAGAACATTATCTTTTGCAAACCAAAAGGCAAAATTGAAGATAAGTGAATGTATTTTCTGATGTTTTCAGTAAGAAGGTGAGTAGAGGGATAAAGCAACAATTCATGAAACTATTGTATGTATAGGACAGAGATTCTTAACTGCTCAGGGGACATTTGACAATGTCTGAAAACATTTGGGTTGTTTCTTCTAGGCATCTAAGGATGCTAGCAGTCTGTGACCAAGATAAGAGGCTTTCTAGGTTACCTTATGCATTAAGAAATTCCTACCTCACTCTCAAGGTAAAGCCAAAGCTGGGAATGCTGAGAGAGGGGTATACCTGTCTCATCTTCAACTTCTAACCCCATAAGGCCACCAGAAGTGCAGCTCAGCCTCTGAGTGCCTTCTTGGATTAACTCATGTCCTGCTTCCTTTGGGCTCTTGGTAAGACAGCTGCCCATCATCCCTCACTATCTTGTTAACTCTGATTTTAAAGTTCATTAATTTTTGTATTTTTTTGAATTTTGCTATTTTCATTGGGTATGTTAGTCCATTTTCCTAGTCTGCCATTATCAGAAACATGCATTTCCAACTTGTTAATATTGAACTAAACTTTTGGGTGAGCTATAACCAAGTTGGTTAACAGGTTCTGGTTCAGGTAATACTTTGTTCAGGAAAGTTACATTTATATTCCAAGCCTATGATTTTCCTTCCTTATCCTGCTCTTATTCTATTTGGCTATAAGATTATAAAACTCACAAAACAGGCAACTATTTTATTCTCTATAGCAGAGTGTCTTTTGCAAAATTAGAATTAATATTTTTTGTTTTGTTTTGGTTTTTTTTTTTTTTTTTTTTTTTTTTTTTTGAGAAAAAGTCTCCCTGTAAGCCCAGCTGGCCCGGAACTCACTATATAGACCAGGCTGGCCTTGATCTCACAGAGATCTGCCTGCCTCTGCCTCCTCAGTGCTGGGATTAAAGGTGTGCACCTCCACACCTGGCAGAATTATTATTATTATGTTTTTAGTATATCTTGTTGGTTTAAAAAAAAATCTACAAATTTGTCCATTTCATCTTTATTTTTAAAATATTTTTAATAGTTTCTGATTGTTTTGCTAGCCTTGTCTAAGATTTGTCAACCTTAATAGTCTTTTCCCCAAGTAACATTTTGTTCACCATTCTGAATTTGTTTTTACTTCAAGCTTTTGGCTATTTTATATTTTTCTACTTTATTCATAATGTGATTCCTTTTGTTAGTTTTTAAAGTGCATACTTAGTATATTGGTTTTTTTTAAATCTTTTCTTCTTTACAGTATAAACATTTATGTGTTTATTTCTAAGCACCACTTTTTCTGAATCTATGTTTTAATATGTAATATTTTTCAATTCCAGTTTTCTTCCTACTTTTCATTATGATTCCTTCATGGGTTTTTAGATGTATTATTTCCTTAATTTCTAAACATTATTATTTCTGTCTTTTTGGCTGTTTTCTCAAGTAATTACATTGTGGATCAAAATATCTATATGATGACTGGCTTTGAAGTTGTTATTTGTTTTATAGCTCAGTATGTAGTCAGTTTTTATTAGATGTCCCCTCTTTCTTGAAAAGATTGTATATGTTGTTCGTTAATTGTTGGGCATGCTGTTCTAAATGTAGCCTTTATATTGATTTTTATAAAATCAAGTGTTTCACATATTCTGTTCTTTCTGATTTAAAAAGTTAATCTGATCATTTACTGAAAGATAGCTTAAAATCTTTCATTGCTGTGTATTTACCTATTTCTTGGTATTTCTGTCAAGTTTTGCCTTATACATTTGCAGGTGATGTGATGCTATTAATTGTCCAGGCATTTAGAATTGTCCAAAGTATACTTTTATGTTTGTATGGCCCTCTTTATTTCTGTGAATGACATTTTTTATTTTAAAGACTGCTTCACCTGATATTGATTTAGAAATTGTATGTCAGTTTTCATTCTTTAAAAATATCTTTTCTGTATTCGCTCTACAATGTCTTTGTAAAAGATGCAATATCTGAATTTCATACATTTATAAAATTTGTGTGATCTTCATCTTTTAACTTAAAATTTTAGTTCATTTATTTTTGTTATTATTTATGTGTATGTGTGTATTGTCTGCATGTATGTGAGTGCACCCATGTTGTGCAGTGCTGCATAGGTCAGAGGGCTTCGGATTCTTCTGGAACTGCAGTTAAAGACAGTTCATAGCCGCCATATGGGTGCTGGGAATCAAACCCAGGGCCTCTGCAAGAGCAGTCAGTGCTCTTAACCACTGAGCCATCTCTCCAGCCCCTTAACATTTTATTTTTAATTGGTGCTTTTCAGCATTTATTTTGTTTTCCTGTTTATTACCTTCATTTCCGGCCTCTTTTTTCTTTCTTAGATGATTTTTTAAATTTTCCTTTCCACAGTCTATTTTATTAGTCCTAGACTCCCATTCCATTTTCTTAAAAGAAATTCTAGATTTTTTTCTTCTTTTTCTTTTTGGCTTTTTGAGACAGGCTCTCCTTGTAGCCCCAGCTGACCTGGAACTCACTATGTAGACCAGGCTGGCCTCGATCTCGCAGAGATCTGCCTGCCTCTGCCTCTTCAGTGCTGGGATTAAAGGTGTGCACCACCACACCCAGCTAATTCCAAACATTTTAATATTATATAACAGTTCTGAAGTTAGCCTCCCTTTACTCTCTTCCTAAGCAATGCTTTTTCCTAAAACCATCTCCTACTTTTTTTTCCTCCCTCACTGCCATTCCTCCTTTCCTGACTTCCTTGCTAACCTCTCCTTCTCTACCTAACCTCTGAATGGTAGACTGACCCAGGGATTAGGACTGCACATAATCTTTCTCTACAATTTCCCAAGTGCTCATATACATTCTAGTCTGGTTATAAATACTATCTACTTGTTGATGATTTCTAGTTTATTTAGCCAGCCTTTTTAATGAACTCTTTATATAGCCTGGTTTATATATCAAACAACAAGCTTGCTACCTCAAGTTGTATGTCTTAACATCTAAATGTAAGAGAACAGATGACAATATTATCTACCTAGGTTTTCAGCCCAAGGTTTTGTGGAATATCTTTGATTTTTCACACCTATCATAATCCAACCTGTCAACAAATCTTGACAATCCCTTTCCCTCATTTTTTTCTTTAGTATAGAATGTGAAATTCCTTTGAAGAGTAGTTTATACTAATATGAACTTTAAAAGAAATAACAGTAAAAAATATATTTTGAAAGTTACATTCAAATGTACTTTAAAATTAAATATAGTGTTTATCTTACATATGAAGGAAGTATTTATATATGTTGTAAAGAAAATAATTACAAACCCAATTTTCAACAGTTTTCCAAGATTCATGCTTTTATTCATTCTCAAAATTATATTAATAAAATGTAATAATTCAACAAAAATAGGTAATACAGATTATAATTTAACAGAAAATTTGCCACTTATTTCAAGAAATATTAAGTACTGTTATTGATCATATTGCTTGTCCTAAAACTTGGTCTACCAAAAGTTCTTTACCTTTTCTCTGAAGAAACATTCTACTAGTATACCTATATTTTTTTACTACTTTATATAAAGAGATTTAAAGTATTTTGTCATTTGAAAATATATTAAATTTCAAGAGAGTTTTCCTCCTTTTGACTCTTTTTAAAAAGATGCATCGCCATTTGCTCCCTTGGAGTCTGGATCTGTGAAGAGCTTTCCCAGTGTACCAGCCATCCTCAGGTGAAAGAGGCCATCAATGTGATAGGTGTAACTTTGAAGGTATTCTCATTTCATAATGGTGTAATGGTGGGGTTTTTTGTTTTTTTTTTGGTGGTGGGGGGGGTGTTCTTTTTGAGACAGGGTCTCCCTGTAGCCATAACTGGCCTGATCTGGAACTCACTATGTAGACCAGGCTGGCCTCCATCTCATAGAGATTCGCCGGCCTCTGCAGCCGGAATGCTGGGATTAAAAGCATGAGCCACCACCCCCAGCCCATGAAGCTGTCTTCTAGGTATTTAACCAGTGTTGGTTAGTATTAGTCCATTTTTGTGGTAATTCAAAAGTCCCTTTCTGAGTGCTGTGACTGCCTCCTATTGGCAATGGCTGTTAGGCTATTTACATTCTGAGTTTTCCTGGACCAAGCCTAGGCCAGATAGGGGCTCTTTTGGGGGTCTGGGCAGATTCCTGTGGCAAGAGGAACATCTGCTATCTGTTGGTAAAAATGTCAAGAAAGTGAGATTTCAAGCTGTAACCTCTTTATAGGCCTGGGATAGGACCCTGTAGCTTCCACCTAGGAGCCCTAGGCATTTACCCACTAGCTAATCCTTGGGCATTTGGGGGACATCTTTCTTTCTTTGCTTTGATATTGAGAGAAACGCTATTTATTGGGCACTCACATGTAGCCAGAATACTGGCAAACTTTCTCTCAGATCCTTTTTTGATGTTTTCTGATAGCTCTGCAAATTGAGCATTGCAATCCTTGCTCTACACCAGAAGAAATCAAGTCCCAGAAAAGTTGGGTCACAAGTTCAAGGCAATACAGGTGTTAAGTGATAGAACCTGGATCGAAAGTAGAGCTGTGTGAAAGAAAAGCCATAGCTGAACTTTCATTTGTGCTGTTAGATGCTTCCTAAAGAAAAGCTCACAGCCTGTCCTATTTTGGCTCCTGCTTAAAAACCGTGGAGGTCATTAGCACTGCTGTTCTCAGACCTCCAGAAGCAGTGAGTCTGCCAGGCATATGCTGAGGGCTTTGTGGAATTTCTCAGTGGCAAGGGAAGTGTCCCCATTTTATCAGCAAAGGTATGATACGCAGGAGAAATAGGAACTTATTTGAGACTGTGGGACAACTTAGCTGCCTCTGAATTGAAGCCCTGCACCATCTGTCTAATACTAGTATCCAGGCCCTTCTTGCCCATCTTTCTTCACTGGCTACTACATGCAGCAATGATAGTAACAACAATTACAACTAATGCTGGGCAGTTATCACTAGACCAGTGGCAGCCCCTGTTCACCCTTTGTGGGTTATCTTCTTTGGTCTGTGAAGTGATCAGTCAACAGTGTCTTTTATCCTTATATTGGAATGGGATACTGTGGTCTGGCCCCTGCCTGACTAAATTCAGTGCCTCTTGTTCCCCACCTGTATCCTAAACCTCCACCCCCTTCACTTCCTGCTCCCCCATGTCTCCTGTATAACACCTGGGTTATGTCCCAGAAGCTGAAAACATGCTTGCTGCTGAGCCCTGTAAAAATTAGTAAACCATGGTACCATGTGTCACAGTTCCCTCCAGCCTGACTCTTACCATCATATTGAAGCTTGGGAATCATCTCAGGAGGTGAAGTGACACTGCTGCCTGTATTTCACAGATGAGGAAAATGCACTGACTGAGCAGTGACAGGCCAAACGCAGAATGTTCTGGCCACATGCCTGGGACTTTGCATAATGGGTGTGCAGGACTCCCTCTAACTCTCCAAGGCATGGAGAAATATTCACATAATAATTTTGAAATTGAAAAATATTGGATATAAATTGTTAATCCATGTGGATTTCAGTTCATTTTTAAGTGCCCCATTTTCTCAAGTCTAGAATGTTTTTCAATCTTTATTTTTTCTGAACTCTAAATATATGCATTTAATTTAAATTAGTTCCCTCTCTATCCTTTACCGAGAATGTTGTTGATAATTTGATGGCATATTAGACATGTATGGTTTTCCATGTAGTATAGAATAGAATAGAAATTGATAACAGTAGAGAAATGGAATAATAGATGTTTCTTTATGTTACTATGACTTCTCAGAAATGCCTGCAATTTTCCTGTAATTATGAGGAATAGCATAAGGTACCCAAAAACATAAAATTAATACATACTGAGCCCTTACCCTATCAAACACTGTCTATCACAGTGCCAGATTATGCCACCAATTCCTCCGCACTCTGGGCAGATTCTGCTGCCATACCCATTTAGGCATAAAGGAAACCTGGGCAACAGGAGGACAAGGAACCAGTTACAAAAGCAGAAGACCAGGATGCAGCCAGGGAGGTCTCCTGTTAATCACTGCTATTAACAGAACACTGAGATCCTAATCCCGCCTTCCTCTGATTCCAGCTTTGCCTGTCAACTGGGTTGTCTCACTTAAGGATATAACACAAAAATCTAAGAATTGAGGACTAGGTAGAACAAAACCAACAAGGAACAAGAGGGACAGCAATCACATAGAGAAGAGGTGCTTTAAGAGACCTTTGGGGGTCTGTCAGGAGGGGGAGAAAAGAAGAGGAGGTGTCACCCCTGCCCTGTCCTGCCCTGCCCTGCCCTGCCCAGCCCTGCCCAGCCCATGCTAAAGAACCAGAGATGGAAGGGACCCTAGTAACACCAAGGTGACTTGGATGTGCTTGTGGATGTGGAAAAGATACAACTAGGGACAGGAGAGATGGCTCAGTGGTTAAGAGCACTGACTGCTCTTGCAGAGGACCTGGATTCAATTCCCAGCACCCACATGGTGGCGATGAACTATCCTTAACTCCAGTTCCAGGGGAATCTGAAGCCCTCTTCTGACCTTGCGCCATTGCACAACATGGGTTCACTCACATACATACAGGCAATGCACTCATACACATAAAATAAAAATAATTTTAAAAAAAATAATAAATTTTAAAAATGTTAAAAAAAAATACACAACTAGCCCTGCAGGGGAGGCTTTCTCAGGAGCATTGATTAAATCTACCTACAGCCTTAGTACTGAGTGGGATCAGCCCAGCCAGCTGCCACTCAGAACATGCCACACAGGCAATTGTTTGTGTGTGGTGGGACAGCAGTGGGTAGCAGGTATATGGTGGTTCTAGACCACCAGCATACTCATTCTCAGCATCCTACGTTCAAGGACATGGAGCATGGCTATAGAGTAGCATGGGCCAAGGCTGGAGTGAGCTGCTCAACCTGATTTCCCTGAGCTGGCCAGGTTGCCCTCAGCCCCACCTGCCTCCCACTTTCTTATCCCATCTCCCCAGACACCCTAAGTTTATTCTTCTCACCCTTGCTGCTGTTTCCAGTCACCATGGTTTGCTGGTTTATACCTCCCAACGCTTCATGTTCTATTTCACCTAGCACCCCAAATCCACATACCCCCACCAACCTTCATGGCTCAGTATACCTATCACTGAGCCTCCTGGCTAGGATTGCCAGCTCTATCCTGGTTCAGCAGGTCACCCTCCATTCTACTGCCCAAGGAATTCATCTGTGCATAAGTCTGACCAGTACAACCCACAGGCCTGTGTATATGGCAGGTCATTCAGGAACCAGCCTACCCCATGATACCACCAGTCCCTAGAAAATAGATAAGTAGCCTACCCTACTTATCTTGTGCTTTCAATCTCTGTCTTTGATTTATTGCTGCCATGTTCTCAGCCCTTCCTGACTATGTGTTGAATGAGTGAAGGAATGATGTATCCCCACCATCTTCCATCTCCCTGTGCATGCATACTGCCACACACCTGGGAGTCCCCCTGTCTCGAGGTTGTTTCCTGTCTCAGTGCCTGTTCCATCACTACACACACATATTACCTCCCACCTAGGAAACTCTTCTCTCTCTCCAACCTACATTTTTAAACTCAGCTCTCCCTTCTGCCACCCATTCTGACTTTCCCATGTCTCCCTATTCTGCCCGAAACCCTTTTGTCTTGTCTGCCACAGCGCTCATCATTTTCCTTTTGTCTGTTTCCAGCTTCTTAAGAGCCTTGCTAGCATCCATTCACTCTCCCCTACTCCCTCAGTGTTTCATCTTCCCCTTGAACACAGCATGTTAGCATTGCCAATAATGATCACAATATAAGAAAATAATAAATGCATTACTTATACTGTGGAGGAAATGAAACATGATGGGCTAAAGCTGAAGAATTGGAAGGGATGGACTGCTTCATGAATGCAGTGACATTTTGTGCCAGGATCTGAACAATGTAGCAGTGCCAGTCACATTTCAGGCAAAGCCAAGAGCAAGTGCAGAGACCCTAGGGCACAAACACCCAGGGTTCTTGGGGGACAGAAAGAGGCCAGTGAAAATCAGGTCATCTGGGGTCAGTCTAGATGAGGGAGGAAGGCTGTAAAGAGCCCCTCAGTGCTCATGTGACTAAGAGTGAATGGTACAGGGCCATGAGCAGGTATTTGTGCTATAGATAATGAAGGGTGGATAGCAGTGTCGCCCCAGGTTCTGACCAGGCAGGAAGCACGGGTGTCCTTGTCCCATTCATGCACTCCCTGATAACTATGGCTTTGCATATTCTACCTCTTTGATACCACACAAGAATTGAAAACATCTAGAAGACTTGGAACATGAGACCGCTTTAGGAAATAGAGTCATCGAATGTACTATAGTCCATGAATTATGTTCCCTAGGCCTCTAAGGTACACATATATCTTAGTATGTTACACATGTAGGTCATTTCATTTCCTTAGGAAGTTTTATTTGATCAATCCTTATTTCTCCATGTGTAAAATAAAGATAGCTGCCAATGAAGATTTATCAGTGAGAGAATGAGTTACATTCTTGTAAAAGGTTTGGCTCATAAGGACCAGCAATGCATTCTATTTTCATTGCCTCAAGTTGTCAAGCTGGATACAGAATTTGAAATTTGGGGTTTAGTAGGTAAACAGTGGCTGATTTTTTTCTACAGGATAATATTTAAATCAACACAGGTGAGGCTAGACAAGAGGCAGTAAAAGCCAACCCTATTCATTATACATCCAGTGGTGACTCTGAGGAAATTCAATTTGTCCCCATGAGGGATTACAGGGAGAGAGAAGAAGTGATGCTGATAGAATGGTGGTGTGGTTATATATAAACTCTGTTAATGGGACATAGTTATCATCTATTTCATATTAAATAAATGTACTGCAATCTGTACAGACCTGAGAAGAAAAAACAGTTTTGTTCTTCCTTAAGAATAATACTCCTGCTAAGCTGCTATATTTACTTTGGGATTTTGTTTCCTTTTATAGTTTTCTAACAAAATCGTGGCTCAGGTCTCTTGTGATATTCTTCAGTTGCTGGTTTCCTACTGGGAAAAGCTTCAGATATTTGAAACTGCTCTACCCCGAAAAATGGCAGAAGTAAGTCCTTTATTTACAACATCAAAACATACATATTTCCTTTTTAATAATGTATCTGATATCTAATGAATTACAGATCCTCAAATAATTGTTAGGGAAGCAACTATTAAACTGCCACGTGAGTTCCATTTTCAGCTGATGGTGCCTGGCTCTTCTCAGATGCAGTTCTAGGCACAGTGTAAAGAAGCCTGCAGTGTTACAGGGCAGAGACTGATACTTGGAGAGTTTGAAAAGCAGACATGACCACAACAAAGAGATCTTTTGTAGATTGGGCTTTATTCATTGAGAATAATTTGTATGGTGCCAACAAGGAGTAGGCAGCTGGTTTAATGCCCTCCTTACAGGGTGGGGGCCTGGCTGTTGTGTAAAGAAAGAATCATTCCCAGACTAAAGGCCTGGGCCATGCTTTCTGCTGTGGCACAATTACCCTTCTCTAATGAGATCAGTGCAGTAATAACTTCTGAGGGAGTGGTGACCAGGAGAGGGAGCAGAAGGAACAGGAAGGATCATCATAGAGTCTTGGAGGTTGACAACACCCAAGATGCTTTGCTCAGAATTGAGCAGGGACCTTCACTTAGGTGCCTGTGAGAAGGCACATCCATCCCTGACAGTTTTTATAGCTGTGCTTCCTAAAGCCAACCCTATTTGTTATATATCCAGTGGTGACTGAAGAAATTCAATTTGTCCCCATGAGGGATTACAGGAAGAGAGAAGAAGTGATGCAGATCTGTTTCCCCCAAGCCCTGGATACATTTCACTGTTGAGATCACTTTGTTCTCTCAGAAATACAAGAGTCACAAGTGATTTTGCCCTGAAGTGACCTAGAGTGGAATAGACCTTTCACCCTGCTGCAGAATGTAAAGTTGGGTTTTAGAGTGACTGTAATTTATCCAAACAAGGATACTTTAGAAATGGAAAAGAATGCTCTTATATCAGGACAGTAGGTGGAGACCTGGGCTAATTTACAAGATACTAAGTGAGAGCATTTTCATAATTCTTTTTGAAAGCATTTTTTTCACTTCACTGTGGAAATATGGGGACTGATAGTAGAAACAGGGTGACTACAGAAATATTCCTTGCCTTTGAGATCCCAATTTCCCCACCATTAAAGTAGAGTAGAAACCATCTTGTAACTTTCAGATCATAGAACTGCCCTCAGCTTTGTATAGCCTTCCAGTGAGTGGGTAGCAAGCTGAGTTCAGTTACAAGGCCATCTTGGGATTCTTAGCATATGACTTCCAAACCATTGTTATGATGTTTCATTAAGATTTCTCTTTTATACAGATCCTTGTGGCCACAATTGCTTTTCTTTTACCAAGTGCAGAGTATTCCTCAGTGGAAACGGATAAAAAGGTAGGTGACACATTAGCTAAATTCCCCCAGAGTTCATGTTTAAATATAAGACAGAATGGCAAATAAGGTTACAAATGATAATGTCATTTATAGGATCCTTATGCATTTAACACTCTCTCCTATGAAAACATTTTTTTAATTTACTTACCCAGTCTTTGCATGGCTATTGAATAATTACACAGGGACAATATTCTGTTTATTTTTACAAGCAGTGAGCCTTAAAAAGCTGCAGTATAAGATTCGGGGCATGTTTCTTCTTCCAGTTTATTGTATCCTTGCTCCTCTGCCTCTTGGATTGGTGCATGGCGCTGCCGGTGAGTGACCTTCTTCACCCTGTGTCTACCGTGGTCCTGGAGGAGCAGCACCCATCCCAAGCCCCCTTGCTAGATTATATCTATAGGGTAAGTCTCCTTCTAGGTCTGGGGCACAGACTGTGTTTCTACATGTCAGAGAACCATTAAAATATGGGACTGGAGAGATGGTTCAGTGGTTAAGAGCACTTAGTGCTCTTTCAGAAGACCCAGGTTTAGTTCCCAGCACCCACATGGCAGCTAACAACTGGCTGTAACTCTTGTTCCAGGGGATCCAACACCCTCTTCTGGCCTCCCAGGGCACATCATGTACATGGTGTACTTATGTACATGCAGACAAAATCCTCACACACATAAAATGAAATTTTAAAAATTTATTTTTAAAAAAGAAAACTGCTAGAATTTATTTTGTACATTTACTTCTTTATACGTTTTGAAAAGGACTTGTAGCAGTTAAACATCTGGGAAGATGGCTAGTTTAATGAGTGGCAGCAGAGCAGGTACAGTTGTAGAGAAGCAGTGCTTGTTAAACTGAAGATACAGGTGTTTTATGTAACTATTATCATTAAACCCTGTCATTTGAACAGACTGCCCTCAAGCTGCATGGAACATGATCTGTACCTACTTAATTTTAAAATGGGCTGTTTATAGTTTCTGCATCAGTTTAACAAAATCTATTCATTTGAGGGTGGGGGGAAGCATAATGCTTCCAGTAATCAATCTCCTTGCCTTAGGAAAAAAAAAAACCTCAAGAGGCAGGTGTAGGAGTCGTACATGCTTATAATCCCAGCACTTGGGAGGATGCTGGCAAGAGAACTGCCTGAGTCACCTGAGTTCAAGGTAGCTTAGGCTACCCTATCTCAAAAATTCAAAACAAGGGGCTGGCTAGATGACTCAGTGGTTAAAAGCACTAGCAGCTCTTACAGAGGACTCAGATTCCATCCTAGCACCCACATGCAGCAGACAATTGTCTGTAACTTCAGTTTCAGGGGATCCAATGCCTTCTAGCCTCTGTGGGCATTACACTGCATGGGTACATTATATATACACAGGCTAAACACTCATATACATAAAATAAAAATAATAAATATTTTTTAAAAATTTCAAAACAACGAAAAAGAAAAAAATCAAGATATAAATTAAGAAATGTAACCTAGTGAAAACTAGCAGTACTTAAAAATCTGTATGAAAGCATTCTTGCAAAATTATATTAAATTATCTCTTACAATTCCTGGGTCACACATACCACTAATTTAAACTTGCGAGCTGTCATGAAGCACGCCTGTGGCCAGCAGTTGCAGTCACCCTGCCTCTGCCATGAGGGCTTTCCCAGCCTCTTTCATCTCCTGGGCTCGTCCTCCCACCTGTGTTGCCTTTGGAGGGTGGAGGGCCGAGGTGTGCACAACCACACAAAAATGGAAATGGGTACTTTTATATTTTTGCTTTCTTTTTCCCTTGAGAATATATTTATCATCACTAATACGAGTGGGCAAAATAAATTTGCTAGTAGCAAGAAGATATTTAAGAACAGAAAGGACTCCATGTTGTGAAGTATTCCTAAGTGAGAGTCCTGAGAGCCAGAGTTGTCAGGGGACAGGAGGTGGTGGCGTTCAGAGCTCTATTCCACCTGATCTCCTCAGGTTCTGCACTGCTGCGTCTGTGGCTCGAGCACATACACCCAGCAGAATCACTATACTCTGACATTGGCTGACTTGTCATCCACGGATTATGACCCCTTCCTGCCTCTGGCAAACGTGCAGAACTCCGAGCCAGTCCAGTACCATTCATCAGCAGAACTGGGGAACCTGCTAACTGTGGAAGAGGGTGAGTATTTTCCAAATGTAAAGTCTTGTGGGCAGGGAAAGTAAGATTATACCCTTTGTCCATGCTTGTGTTTTAGGGTTGTTGTTTTTTGTTTAGTTTAGTTTTGTTTTGTTTTGTTTTTAAATCTACTTACTCAAGTTGAAATCCTAGTTTATAGGGTCTCTGATGGCAAACTCTGCCTTCCTTGTTTCTTCCCTTTTTTTCTATTATTTTTACTCTCCTTTTTCCCATTTTAGTTATTCACATAGCTTTGTATTATTGAAAGCTTATGTGCTTCATACCCATGGAATACACAAAAAGTGCTCATTTTCTATCCCCAAGAAGCTTCACATCTAATGGGAAAGACAGGAAGATACTGGGCCAGTAGCCACTTGGTGCCTCCCATAGGGAAGAGCCTAAGATAAACTTGGCAGGATGGGCAGGCTTTGAAGGGACTTTGCAGTGTTCTAGACTAGGAGCCCCTTGTGAAGAGAGCTGAGAATTTACTTGCCACCAATTGGAGAGTGTTCTACTGTACAGAGGCCAGTTTAGAGTCTATGGACTTTGTTAGGACTTAGGGGCTGCTACATTTCCTCCTTAACTGCGCTTCCCAAATGATAAGCACACAGCTGTAAGCCATGGATTGTGAATCTGCATGTGGGTAGTCACTGTAGTCATGGCAGATTTTCATAAAACTAACCACATAAAAATAAGGGGTGACTCTAGATAGGCTGACTAGACCCCAGTGGATGAACTTGCACTGAGGGACGTCTGACTTGACTTGATAGGCCTTAACATAAATGACAGACTGCATGAAATCCAGTGGCAGGATTACAGGAGGATGCTGTTAGGGAAGGGAGTATAAAGATGATTAAGATGTTGTATATAAAATACACAAAAATTTAACAAAAACAGAAAAAAAAGTGCATGTCAAACCTGGAGTATCCCAAAATATCAATGGATTATATCAGTGTAGATTTCCTGATTGTGGCATTGTGCTGTGTATATAGGGTGAAATGAAAGGTATTTGAGATCTCTTTTATTTCATATCATTGCATATGAATTTGCAATTGTCTCAAATTAAAAGTTAAAAAATATGGATGCAGGCCAGATGTGGTGGCGCATGCCTTTAATACTAGCAGAGGCAGGCAGATCTCTGTCAGTTTAAAGCCAGCCTAGTCTGTGTAGTGAGTTCCAGGTCAGCTGGGGCTACAGGGAGACCTTGTCTCAAAAAGACCAAAAAAAAAGGGTGCAGAGTGCCCCCATCATTCATGGAAATTTTATGGATTTTCAAGTTTAAATTAAAGCCTAGGCCCAAGAATAGAATTCTGGGGGGAGGGGGGCCATGACATCCTGAAAGGGAAAGGAATGAGGGATTACCACCAGGGAAGTGGGGCAGCAACATAGTCATTGCTCCAGGTCAAAAGAAGACAGTAGGTGGTGCTGAGGCAAGTTAGCAGTGTCAGTGCTTCAAGAAGCTTTGGGAAGGGGAAAGCAGGAAAGGAGCTGCTTTTCAAGGAAGTGTTTAGATATGAACTTTCCCAGAGTACTTAGGACAGAATGGCTTATTTAGCTAGACAACATGTGTTGGTGACCTGTGTGGTGACCACTCAGCTCTAAGACAGGCTCCTCTCATGGGGCGTTCGGTGGAGAGGGAGAAGACACAGCAGACTGTGATCAGGTGAGGATGCAGGATGCCAGGGGAGTGCTTGAGGAACCACTGAGTCTGGAGTAAGCTTGAGGGTGAGATGAGGATGAAAAAGTAGGAGCTTGAATTTCGGCAGTCTGGGTTTTAGCTCTGTTTGAGAGAAGAGAAAATGAAACTTACAGGATTTCCTTGGGAATGTACATGTCAGAAATAATAGTGAGAATGGAATTTGAAGTAGTACTGGAAGTAGAGTTTGAGCCTAAATGTATTTATTGGTCAGGTTACTGCAAGTGTGCTTAATTCAAGATTCTGCCACAGTAGACTAAAGACTTTTTTTTTGAACTGGGTTGGTAATAAATGGTATGTAGCATATTTCATGTCATTTATCATCTATTTATTTAAACATCTAATTGTCTTGTTCTGGAGTTCTATCTGTTAATAGTAATATCTTCTTGAAAGTTTTCCCATAATTATAAGTTTAAACTATTTTTACTGAATGACTAAAGAAATTCTTGATATAAAATCATTTTTGTTGTTTCTCGTCTTGCAATCCATGTCTTAAGAAATAAACTTGCTTTTTTTCTTTCTTTCATCTTCCTATTTATTTATTTATTATTTATTTTTGCCTTTTTGAGACAGGGTCTCCCTGTAGTCCCACCTGACCTGAACTTGATATGGAGACCAGACTGACCTGGATCTCAAAGAGATCTCTCTGCCTTTGCCTCCCGAGTGCTGGGACTAAAGGCGTGTGCCAGCATGCCCAGTGAACTTACTTTTTCTTGAAGTGATTTCAGTTCATCCTACATTACTGTCCCAACTCACCACTTAATATAACTTGTCCTTTAAAATAGCAGAAAATTAGTAGGTTAGTGAAAAAGGAAAAACTTTTAAATGAACACTTAAATGTTAGTAGGGTTTTCCTCTCGCTGGGCAATACTTTGTGATTTGAATATTCATTCTCCAGAAAACCTCATGGCCTTCTGCACACATGTGGTACTACTTTCATAGTACCAAAAACAATGGTGTAAACTTCTGTGGCAAAGGAATTTTTTTAATACACTAATATATGAAAATTTTTTTTTAAAAAGGATAACGCTTAAAAACACATTGACATGCATAGACACTCTGATTAAATGGGTCCATCATGTTAAACATAAAGGGATAAATAAAGATAACTTTTAGGTTAAATAAAATGATCTCCTGTAGCACTGACCACTGGGGTTTGGGCAATCTACCAAGGGGCTTGCCCCTGAAGAAAACTAATTCCCTCAGCAGCCATTCACTGCCTGTAGGTCCTCAACTAGGGGTGGGGCCTTGTGAACCCTGCTCCTATCCATCTGGAATATTGACTGATTTGATCTTGTCTTGTGCAGGCAATTACAGCTCTTGAGAATTCAGGGTGCAACATCCCTGTCATGTTCAGAAGATAGTATTTTACAGCAGCTTTCCTGATCCTCTGGCTCTGACAATCTTTCCTCCCTCTCTTCCACAATATTCTTTGAGCCTTGTAGAGATTATATATGTCCCTTCTGACCAACAACTTGAAGGGAGGAATCCCTCATGTGGCACTGGGCTTCTAGTGACTTTCTTAGAGCATTACCTATACCTAATATATTTACTTCTTTTAAAGTTAAAAGCAAGAGACAGTCAAGCCATCTGTGAGTACATGTACTCTGATCACTCATTGTTAATAATTAAGTGCTTAAAAGGAGGGGTAGGGTTCAAAAAGTGAAAGTTAGAGGATAACCTGGCTTACTGGTTTTATATTTCCTCTAGAAATTTAGAAAAAGGAAGTGAAAACTGCTTTGTAATAGTTTGTGGAAGTCGTGAGCTGCTTTTTTGCTAATAGCATCCAGGTCATCTCTGATTTGGGGGGAACCTGTATGAAGTAGACCTGCTGAGATGTACCAGGAAAGAAAAATCATTATTTCACAGATAGTCCTTTTCCTGACTTCAGTACCAGGGCCATTTGGGGTTTTCTTAAAAGCATCATTTTTGTCATGGTTTATGACTTGATTGATGTGACTCTGTCATTTTTCCATTATAGAATTCAAACACATTCACAAAATACATATTTATATTCACCTCAAATCGAAAGCACACCCTGAGTGTGTAAAAGTAAAGTTGCTAAGTTGTTTTTCTCCCATCCAAGTACTAATCAGACCCAACCCTGCTTAGCTTCTGAGATCAGATGAGATCAGGTATGTTCAGGGTGGTATGGCCGTAGATTAAAGTTGCTTTCCTAATCACCATTTTCTGCCTTGCCCCTTTATCACACTGGACCTTTATCATTAGGGCTTTTATGTCTGCTGTGCTGTCATCACAACAGCATGTTTCACATCATGAACTTGAATACCCAGCTGGTTCCATGTTGACTCTCTGGAGTATTAATATTTCTTAGCTGGAACATTAAATGTGGGAATTAAATTTCTTCGTTGTGTAGAAATCTTATGAACTTCTCATAGGGTTGGAGATTTGTTTAATTTTCTAGGATTTTTGTAAGTCACAAAGTAATGTATTATAGGGCCGGAGAGATGGCTCAGCAGTTAAGAACAATGACTGCTCTTGAAGAGGACCCGGGTTCGATTCCCAGCACCCACATGGTGACTGCGAACTGTCCTTAACTCCAGTTCCAGGGGAATCTGAAGCCTTCTTCTGACCTCCATGGCATTGCACGACACTGGTGCACTCACTTACATGCAGGCAATACGCTCATACACATAAAATAAAAATAAATAAAATAAAAAATAAAAAAATAATGTATTATAAATGAGTCAATTAGGTTAATGGCTAAAGAAAAGAATATTTAGCATGAAAGGCACATATTTAGAGTTATTTGTGCTTTAATTAATGGTTGATTTTCACTTTGTGACTTCACAAACCAGTTATTTCCCTATGTTTTAAGCTCAAATTATAAATTTTACTTTATTTAAATTACGAGACTTTGGAGATAAAAATTTTAAAGTTTCATTTTTACTTGTTATTAGATTACTGCATCATGCTTTTATAAATTTGGCAGATTGTAATTTCCCTGACTACTTTTAGTCTGAAGTAGTCATTTCAATCTCTAGTTAGAGGTTTAATCTGCCTGCCTCTCTGTTAACATCTTACTTTATAAAGCCCTGTTATTCACACTGTCATCAAAGCCTTTGTTCACATTTTATGTTAAAATTTTGTAAATCAGTTGCTCTTGGGCACTTAATCATCAAGTACAAATTTAGTTAAATTCTTCTAAGTACCTCAATGATTTATTAATATGACAGAATCTCTTAAATATTTAAAGTGCCCTAACAACAAAGCATAAATTGTCACAATGATTATTAACCAAATTGCTTCAATCTTTTTAAGTAGCCCCAAGCTTTATTCCTTTCCTTATCAAGTCTACCTTCACCCCACAGAGGGCCCAACTTTCTGGTCCCAGCTGTCCCTCCATCTGGGTTTTTGTCCTCACCTGAGCCCCAGCATACCTTCATCACTCTAACACATGGGGACAATTCTCTTTTGCTTATTCCTGTATCTACAGACTTTTAAAAGTCCCTTTCTGAGTGGCATCATCATGTAAATTGGTTCTTTTAACAGTCTATTTAAAGTGTCTTCTTAAATTCAAAATGGAATTGGTGCCCCCCAAAAGGTGAAATGAAGTGAAATCTTTGCTACAGTGAAAAACGAAACATTTGAAGTCCTCACTGAAATCTGGTGGTGTCTCCTCTGTCTCCTTATGTTTTCTTCCTGCTGTTCACAGAGAAGAAGAGAAGAATTGTGGAGTTAATACCCCTGACAGCACGCATGGTGATGGCTCACCTGGTGAACCACCTGGGCCACTACCCACTCAGTGGGGGCCCCGCCATGCTACACAGCCTAGTCAGTGAGAACCATGACAACGCCCATGTGGAAGGTGCCGAGCTGTCCTCTGAAGTGTTCAGGAGCCCCAACCTGCAGCTGTTTGTATTTAATGACAGCACCCTTGTCTCCTACCTTCAGACACCAGCAGAAGGATCAGCTGGCAGGTCCCAAGGGGGTGCCCTGTCAGATGTGAGAGTCATCGTGAGGGATATATCAGGGAAGTACTCTTGGGATGGCAAGGTTTTATACGGACCTCTAGATGGCTGCTTGGCATCCAGTGGGAAAAATCCCTCATTTCTGATTTCTAGATGGCATCATCACACATGCGAACTTCAGAAAGATTTGTCTCACACTGAGGAGGGAGATGATGTCCTTGACAAATTACTTGAAAACATTGGTCATACAAGCCCTGAATGCCTTTTACCATCACAGCTCAATTTAAATGAGCCTTCCCTGCCCCCATGTGGAATGAACCGTGACCAAGAAAAGGAAATCATTGAGGTGATCTTGCGCCAGAGCACACAGGAAGATGAGTACGTGCAAAGGTGTAACTCTAGTTCTGCAATGAGGATCAGCAGCCACGGGCAGCCCTCCCCAGTGGAGCCCCGGGGACCCTTTTATTTCTGCAGGTTGTTGCTTGATGATTTAGGAATGAATTCATGGGACAGAAGGTAACAAAAGTTCCATTTATTTTATGTGATTTTTTTTTTTAAGTCAATTTGAAGTTAGAGAATAAGAGAGAAACAGAGGGGTTTTTTTTTTATCTCCCCACATTTCAGTATTTACAGATTATTTTCCGCTACTGGATTAAAGCTAGAAATGAAACTGTATGTGCCGTACTGGCACAGATTGGATTTCACACACCTGTCAGACACACTAAGGCATGTGACACACTCATCTCCCCTTTGCTTCACTTCATTATTTTCGGGCCAGGTCCATTATTGTCCACACAAGATGCTAATGAACTATAAAAGTGAGTCAGCTACTGTCTAACCATAGGATTGATGAGGGAGGTGACCTTGATGCACCTTTAGTAAAGGACAGAGTGGCACAGGAGGCCAAGAGGAATTTCTTGATCCAATAGGAAGTGTGGACAGTAGAGGAGACCTCACAGAAGAAGATGGGTTTGGCCTGAACCTGATAGTGGTACAGAGTTTTAAAGACATGGGAAGAACAGATTTACAGAGCTGACAGTGAAAACAGACACAGGTAGCTTTCTGTCACTGTGGTACAACACTGACCAAGAGCAACTTGGGGAAGAAAGTGTTTGACTATTAGCTTAGAGTCCATTATTAAGAGAAGCTGAATCAGGCACTCAGGGCAGGAACCTGGAGGCAGAGACCAGAGGAATGCTGCTTTTACTGGCTTGCTCTTCTGGCCTGTGCTCAACCTGCTTTCTTACACAACCCAAGACCACCTGCACAGGGGTGGTACTGCCCATAGAGGACTGGGCTCTTCCACATTACTCAACAATGAAGAAAATTCTTCATGGACATGGCCACAGGAAATTCCCCAGTTGAGGTTCCCTCTTCCCAGGTGTGTCACATTGACAATTGACACTGTCTAGCACAGGCACATGCACACAAGGGACACATTTGCTGACTGCAGCCCCCTCAAGTGTCACTGGATAGCAATAGGATACAGTAGGATTGTCATACCTTTGAATATTGTAAGGAGAATGGAGCCATTCCAGAGTTCTTCCAAGAAGGAAGTTGTAAGTGGATGGATGATGGGTTTGTTAATTGATTGGGAAGCAGCAAAATTAGTCCATGATCACATGATTTTTCTTCCATCCTTTTTTCTTTGTAGGAAGAATTTTCATTTGTTGAAGAAAAATTCAAAATTATTGAGAGAGCTAAAGAATCTGGATTCCCGTCAGTGGTATGTGAGAGTTTATCAAAGCATCTTTTTCCTGTTTGTCAGTGAGTGTGTTCTATGTACAGTTTCAGGAAAGAACATACCCACAGAGACACAGGGAATTTCTGCAAACAACTTCACTGAGCCTATATTTTGTTACATTTCGTTTTGTTTTGCTTGACACAGGGTTAGCTTGCCCAGGTTAGCTTTAGCCTAGACTATAGTCCAGGTAGACCTTGAATATACACTATAGCTCATGCAGGCCCTTCAACATACTCTATAGCCCAGGAAGGCCTTGAACATACTCTCTAGCCCAGGCAGACCTTGAACATACTCTGTAGCCCAGGCTGGCCTTGAACATACTCTGTAGCCCAAGCTGGCCTTGAGAATGCTCTATAGCCCAGGATGGCCTTGAATATACTCTATAGCCCAGGCAGGCCTTGAACGTACTCAATCGCCTAGGCTGGCCTTGAATTTGTAATCCTCGTAATCCTCTTGCCACAGTCCCCAAGTAGTTGGGATTCTAGTCTTTCTTTAATCTTCAATTTTTTAAAAAAACTGTTAAAACAGCTTTGTTCCCGTTTTTATTATCTTTAAGAATATCCTAATAAAGTTTTTCAACAACACCCTGCCCTATTCCTTGAGACAGGATGCTCACTGAACCTGGAGTTAGGCTGTGGCCAACAAGCACCAACAGTCCTCTTATCCTCCCCTTCATAGCATTGGGGTTATAGACATGTAGGCCGTGCCCAGCTGTTCACTCGGGTACTGGAATCCAGACTCGGGCCTTCATGTTTGTTTAGGAAGTATTTACCACTGAGCTATTTCTCTACTCCTCAACATTTTCTTATGCCTTCTTAACTCATGTAATTTATATAATTTTAAATATATTTGAGCTTTATGTTTTTAAGGGGTGGTACAGAGGCAAGATGGAGGAAAGCAGACTTTAGCTTTGTCTAGACAGGTCTTATCTTGGCATTTGGGGAAATTACTAGAGCACTTTATTTTATGCAGTTAATTATTCAGTCATCCGTTCTCAGGTACACATTTTGAAAGGTACAAGCTTTTACGTAGAATTTACAGAAAGAAGACCTGCTAAACACATATTTTCTTTTTTTTTTTTAATTATTTATTTAATAACCACATACTTAGGAGAAGCATTTCATTACATCAGCATTGACATATTCAATAACAATTTTCTGAGCTAGGTTGCATCTCTTACAAAATTGGCTGTACATTTTTAAGTTTACAGTTGAATTATTACAGTTATACAATATTGTACTCAGTATAAACCCTATAAGACATAAGATTAAAGGAGGTTGTAACCTATAAAGAAAATCTCCATTTCATTATTAAAATACAGAGTTTCATGTAGAAAACTTCATTTTAATAGAATTGACATTAAGATGTTTCCACATGCGTTTCTAATCTCTATATATCAGATTATTATTAGTCATAGTCCGTTACTTTCTGAGGTCCTTGGCATCTGAGCATGGATACAAAGTCATTAGGTAGATTTCAATGATAATGTTTTTCACATCTACTAATTACTAAGGAACAAATTTTTATACTTTGAACAATTATTTTTTAATCATTATACTTTAATTTTTAATAACTACATGACTAGAAGCTTTTCACTACAGCTTTAACATATTCAGTAACACACTCCAGAACAATACTATATCTCTTTCACATGGGTGCAAGTTTCTAGGTTCACAGTTGAATTAATATATTTATATATTATTGAACTCAGTATAAGCCCTGTAAGACATAAAATTGGATGAGTTTTTAACCTTTAAAAAAGATCTCCATTTCATTTTAGAATATATTGTTCCTTGCAGACAGACTCATTGTTTTTGCTACTAACACTGAGATGTTGACACTTGCATATCTAATCTGAATGTATCTGAATATTACTAGTCATGATTGGTTGCACTTGGATCCTTGGCACCTGTGTATGTCTATAAAGTCATCGGGCAGATTTCAGCGCTATTGTTTATCACCTCTACTAATTAGTGTGATGTAAATTTCCATACTTCCTCCTCAAATATAATACATTTTTTAAAAATTTATTGATTTTGTGTGTGTGTGTGTGTGTGTGTGTGTCTGTGTATATTACACAAAACATCCCAAAACATCTCATTCGACTATACACCCACTTCCCAGATAGCACCCTCCCATACCCTCCCTCTACAGCTCCCCACTAGAGCCCTTATACTCTGATATCCCTGCTACTGTCTGCTGTGTTGTCGGCACCCCAAGCCATTCCCCACTACTTGCCCTTCTAGTGAATCTAGTCAGCCTGTCTAGCGGTCTTTGTTTTAGGATGGTCCACTGTTCCTCATCTAGCAGTAATCACTTGTCAGTATTCCTTTAGATAAGATTGGGGTTTGCTTGTCCATTTTCCAGTTCTATGCTGGGTTACTATCTGGGAGTCACTTTGGCCACCCTGGCCAATAACTCAAAAGAACGTATTGCCTTTCTGGCATTGTTGCTTGCTATATAGCCTTTAGCTATGCATGTAGACTCTTAAGAAATTTTGTTGGCCCCCTTAACCTTTGGTTATACTTTCCTTTTGATTGTTTAAGGCCATACAGTTGGCCCAGATAAACCAATTTATTTTTACTCTTAAGGTCGTTTGAGGATCGTTCCTCAGGGGTCACATGGGCTTGGGAGGAGCCCCTGGCTCCTTTCTTTTACCAGTTCCGCCTATGTGAAGATAAGTCAAAGGTCCTACTCGACCATGGTTGGTTTCACTTGGAAGCATGGAGGAAATGATTCCTCTTGTGTTGACTCTCCTCTTTGTAGACTGGACACTGGTTCAAGTCCATCTGGTGGGGTCTCCTCAGCTTCCTTGATCAAGAAGACTGGTGACCCACCGCAATTATAGGACCTTTTGAGAGATGTTCATAGTCCCCTGGAACTAGTCAACCTAGGAGGGCAAGGAGCAAAAAGTGTCCTTTATGTCCGTCTGACCAAATTATTATAGGCCTCAAAGTATGTCTGTTAAACATCCAAGAAGGTTAGTTCCACCAGTCTGGAACTTTTAATTACTGTGTGTCACGTAGATAAATATTGGGCAAAGACCAACTGTTTTCAGATAAACCTTACCTAGACATATATTTCTTGATCTGCTATGTATAATTTGTCAGTAGGTTGTAGGAGTAATATGGTTCCCTCGTTTTCAAAACTAGCTAGGCATTATTTATCTCTCGCATTGCCTCACCTCTCAACCATAGTTGTCCCACTTAAGGTGCCCCCATTTCTCCCCTTTCTCCCTTACTAATACCCTTCTCCCATGGCCCTGTCTCTCTTGAGCTCCTTCTTTCCCTTTATCCCATAGGTTCCTTGTATACCCTTCCCTCCCCTCTCCCTTAAACTAACCCTTACCCATATCTCCCTTATTAAGGCCTGTTTCCTACTGTTCTTCTATTTCAGGTTCTTTCTTTTCCTTTGCCTCCCTGTTTCCTTTCTATTATCCTGGTTTCTGTAGTTATGTCTGGTTTCATACTTATTTATCAGAGTCTGGTTCGAGGATCCACATATGAAGGAGAACATATGTCGATTTTTTTTCTGAGCCTGTGTTACTTCACTTAGTATAAAAGTTTCTAGTTCCATCCATTTACCTGCAAATTTCATGACTTCACCTTTCTTTATTGCTGAGTAAAACTCCATCATGTAAATGAACCACATTTTCATTATCTACTCATCAATTGAGGAATACTTAGGTTGCTTGCATCTATTAGCTATTGTGAAAAGAGCAGCAACAAACATGGCTGTACAAGTGTCTCTGCAATAGGATGAGTTCTTTGGGTATATGTCAAGAAGTGGTATAACTGGGTCAAATCATAGGTTCATTTGTAGATTTTTAAGAGTTCTCCCCGCTGTTTTCCATAGGGGTTGAACCAGTTTGCAGCCCCAACAGCAGTGGATGAGTGTTACCCTTTCCCCACATCCTCTCCAACATTTGGTATCATTTGTTCTCTTGG